GGTAGTTAACTTAGAACCATAAATACAAGTGGCTGTAGCATTTCATCTTTAATTTTTTACATGTTGCAATTCCCATTTAAATCAGCAGAGCCTAAAATAAATATTCAAATAAAGTTTTAGACATTTGTAACAAATCCAAGAAAGCTAATTTACTTGAACTTTTGCATATTTCTTCATATGCTTTTGTCTGCTTCATTGTTTCTGTGTTCAGAATGCTATAAATTAGGGTGAAAAATTGATCAACCATCTCTGCAACTCTTAGGCATTCAGTTCACTCATTCTCTCATATAACTTTCCTCATCTGTGAACTAGGAGTAATAACAGTTATCTATCACACAGAGTTGCGATGATTACACATTAAGAACTTAGAACAATTTCTGGCATATCATAAGTGCCAGTCTTCCTCCACAAGAGAATTAAACCCTACGGAAAATGATTTGAATAACTACAGTTGACCCTTGTACAACACCAGTGTTAAGGTGCTGATCTCTGCACAGTTGAAAACCTGCAATAACTTTTGGCTCCCCCAAAATTTAACTCCTAATAGTCTACTGCTGATTAGAGAAGCCTTACCGATAACATCAACAGTTGATTAAGCATTTTGTGTGTTATGTGCAGTATATACTGTATGCTTACAGAAAAGTAAGTAAAGAAAATGTTACTGAGAAAGTCAAAAGGAAGAAAACATATTTTCTGTTCATTAAGTGAAGGTGCATCATCTTAAAGGTCTTTATCCTCTTTGCATTGATTAGGCTGAGGAGAGGAGGAGGAGGAAGAAGAGGGGTTGGTCTTGCACTCTCAGGTGGCCAAGGCAGAAGAAAATCCAAGTATTTGTGAATCTGCGCGTTTCAAACCTATGTTGTTCAAGGGTCAACAGTATTTTCTCAGTTCTTCCAAGTTGGTGCCACTCTAGACACCTAGGAGTTAAGTTAAATCATTTATATATCATGATGCTTTAGGCGTCAAGGCTTAACCCTTGGGAACCTTAAATGAGAAGGACTTATAAGTGGTCAACATATACTGTTATTATTTTGACCGCAGGTGACAGAAATCTGTATTCAAACTGGTTTAAGTAATAAAGGGACTTTGTTTCATGTAAGTAACAAAACAGAGAAGGCCTCAGATGATTTGATTTGGTCTCTGACTTAGTATCTCTGCTGCCCTGTTGGTTCAGCCTTTCCTCAGGTTTTTGGGTCAAACTAATATTTCTGACTAAATTTTCTGAAGAATAATGCAACTTTTCCCTTCTTATGGGCTTATAGCTAAAAATCATAAGGTGTCTTTTGTATATATTTTAGTAGTGGTATATTTAGAATATAATAATATTGTTCAATAAGACAGTTTTTTGCTTAGGCAGTTGTACGTGATAGTCACGTGTTTAAAAATACAGTCTTCTTGAACAATTATCGTAATACTATAAGAAAGGGATTAGCAGTAGTGGGAAACTGCTGCGGGGACACCTCCTCAACAAGGGTACTTGCATAATGAACATTTATTTGTATACCAAACCCTGCATTGTACTCCACATCTTTAAAGTAAAAAATTTTAGAAGTAAATAAATAAATATACAGTCCTACATTGCTTAGCAGTGAGAATATATTCTGAGAAAGTCAATATTAGGCAATTTTTTTGTTGTGGGAACATCTTAGAGTGAACTTACACAAACCTACATGGTATATATAGCCTATTACTCCTAGGCTAGAAACCTGTACAGCTGTTACTATAGGCAACTGTAACACATATCTAACCACAGAAAAGGTACAGTAAAAATACTTTATAAGAGAGAGAAAATGGTACACCTGTGTAGAGTACTTACCATGAATGGCGCTTGCAGGGCTGGAAGTTTCTCTGGGTGAGACAGTGAATGAATGTGAAGGCCCAGGGCATCACCATCCACTAGTGTAGACTTTCTACACACTGTACACTTAGACTACATTAAATTTATTTAAAAATTTTTTCTTCAATAGTTCACCTTAGCTTACTGTAACTTTTTAACTTGATAAACTTTTATTTTTAATGTTTTGACTCTTTTGTCCATAACACTTAAATACATTGTACAGTGGCACAAAAATATTTTTTTCTTTGTATCTTTATTTTATAAGCTTTTTTCTGTTTCTAAGTTTTTGGTTTGTTTTACTTTTTAAACTTTTTTTAAAAAAGCTAAGGCACACACACATTAGTCTAGGATCATCACAGATGATACACAGGATCATCAGTATCACTGTCTTCTACCTCCATATCTTGCTGTACTAGAAGGTCTGAAGAGACAGTTACACTCATGGGGATGTCGTCTCCTGTGACAACAGTACTTTCTTCTGGAATACTTCTTGAAGGGCCTGCCTGAGACTATCTTACAGTTCATTATTATAATTTTTTTTGTATGAGTAGAAGGAATACGCTCTAAATGATTAAAAGTATAGTATAGTAAATACATAAATCTGGAACAGTCGTTTACTATCAGGTGTTATGGCTTTACATAATTGCATGTGCTAGACTTTTGTATGGCTGGCATCACCACATACATGAGAAATGCATTTTGCTACAACAGTACGATGACTATGATGCCACTAGGCAGTAGGAATTTTTCATTACAATCTTATGGACCACTGTTGTGTATGTAGTCCATCGTTGACCAAAATATTGTTGTGCAGTGCATGACCGTATAAAAAAAAGTTTTAAGCCTATAGAAGCTATAGTTGTATGTTTACACTTACACAGATGTTCGTTACCACCTTAGTAGACGATATTGCAATCAAAGGTTTTTATGACAAGTTACCAAAAGATAAAGAACAAAACAAACAAAAAAGGAGGGGCTCGTAAGAATAACTTGATGAAAGAATTTTAAGAACAAAGTAGGAGCAATTAGGAATGCCGTTTAGGTAGGAAAGACAGTTAATGCAGAAAAGTTGTCCTGCTGGAAGTGTGCCCTGACTCTGTGGGGAGCTGCCCATCCTTTTGCTAGAGTAGTTCTAGTAATTTCTTCTTCCTGCCAAGGATGTTAGTGAACAGTATGGTGTGTAGAGAGTGGACTTGGCTTCAGTCAGAGGATCAAACCAGGATGGTTAGAAATCAATAATTTCAAACCAGGGTCAAGGTCCCTTTGTACTGTGATTTGAAAGCTAGCTGTAGGGATCTCCACTTTGGAAAACATTCTTCCCTGCAGTCCATACCTAAGACACATTTTAAAAACTACTTCTAAAAAAACTTTAAATACTAGAGGCTATGGTAGCCGTGATTGCACCACTGCACTCCAGCCTGGGTAACAGAGTGAGACTCCAACTCAAATAAATCAACAACATATTTAGATAGCACTAAGGTAATTTACATGGACTTCATAGCTCTCTAAAATCGGAATGTATATCTGTCTCTGTTATATGTACCGATATTGAATGATCTTCAGGTTGTATTGTTGAGAGATAATAGCAAAGTACAGACTAGCCTGTATAGTGTCTGTAGTATGGGTAAAAATATGTGTGCATAGCTTGGCACAATGGCTCAAGCCTGTAATCCCAGCACTTTGGGAGGCCGAGATGAGAGTATTGCTGGATCCCAGGGACTCGAGACCAGCCTGGGCAACTTGGCAAGACCTCAACTCTACGATAAATCAAAAAATTAGCTGGACCAAACCAGCTACTTAGAAGGCTGAGGCAGAAGGAAGCATCGCATGAGCCCAGCAGGTCAAGGCTGCAGTAACCATGAACATGCCAACTGTACTCCAGCCAGGGCAACAGAAAAAAAAGTGTACATGTATCCATGTGTTAGATTACATATGTGTAAAATATCATGGGTAAACTACACCAAAAACCTGTTAACAATAATTGTCTCCATGAAAGGAAACTGGGTGGTTGCCAACCGTTAAAAGGACATCTGTACTCTTCTGGTGTCAGGAGTTATTCAGTAGTTTCAATAGATGTCTCTGGATCAGAGCTTCTTAACATTTTAAACATCAACACATGGCTTCCTAATTATAAATTGTCTGGAGACATCAAAAACAATTCGTTTTACTCTTTAATAAACTCTATATGTAAAAAATATGCATTGTTTTCAGGTAGTATACAAAAAAGGCAGCTCCTCACCTTCCCAATCCATCTCCCTGGAAAATAGTCCCAACACTCTTCTGAAACAAACCTTTAGACTAGTAGCACCTTCTGATCAACTATATCTAGGCCTCCCAAAACACATTCCTGAGCTTTTAATCAGAGGGGTCTCAGAGCTGTCTTCCCCTTTTTAGAGCGATTTGGAGAAGTTTTTTCTTTTTTCCCCTTCTCATTCCCCAAGCAAAAGCAGATTCCCAGTGTAGCTGTGGGACGCTTGCCATCTCGTTGACTAAACATTGACTCTCTTACGTATGGATAGAGAATCCCCCCCTGCCCTCAGAATAATTAGATACATGGCTTTGAAATTTTAGGCTTATTTTTTCATCAGGAGACCTAATTTTTTATTTCTAAGACTCTTTTGAAAGATACATTTTATAAATTGTATTTGCTGTAAACAACTTTTACTAAGCATTATTTAGCAATATTCAGTATAGTTCACTATGAATTATTTTTCAGAAGTAGTTCTTTTTTTTGAGTCAGAGTCTCACTCTGTTGCCCAGGCAGGTCTCACTCTGTCGCCCAGGCTGGAATGCAGTGGCACAGCCTTGATCTGTTGGGCTCAGGCAATCTTTTCGCCTCAGCCTTCCAAGTAGCTGGAACTACAGGCATGTGCCAGCACACCCGTCTAATTTTTTTGGTTCATTGTAGAGATGAGGTCTCACCAAATTGCCCAGGCTGGTCTGGATCCCCTGGGCTCAGGCAGTCCTCACCTCAGTCTCCCACAGTGATAGGATTATAGGCGTGAGCCACCACACCCAACAGAGGTAGTTTGAGAATGGATCTGTTTAGACTTCAGCTAGTTAAAGGGGATGGTGCTTATACTGTTCTATAGCTTGAAAAATGTGAGTACATTCTGTGAATCATTGCCTCTTTCATTTGCTTTATTGTTTTGCCTTAAAACAGAAAGAAGAAGGAAAGCTTCAAGGACAGCTTAACAAGTCTGATTCTAACCAGTATATTAGGGAACTGAAAGATCAGATAGCAGAGCTGAATCATGAGGTAAGTGATAAATTTTGATCTTCACATATTTCTTTCTTCCTTCCTCTGTATTGTAACAACACTTTATAATTACTGGTTGTAAGACTGATTGGTTCATATTAAATATTTTCTATGAATTCTTGATTATAATTAATCATATTTTGAAGATTATTTTCTTTTTAACAAGATTTTCTGTTCTAATATTGAGGAATTATTTCCCTTAAACTTCTTCTTAATCATGATCTAAGATGATCAGTTAATATTTTCATGGCAAATATCTATTTTTTGTGGCATAAAAACTCTTGATAGTTTGCCTAGATGTCGAAGTTATTTAAATTAAACTGACCTTTTCCTTATGCCTGTAGAATAGATTTGTAGTGTTTACCGTTGTGGGTAGAGGGAAGTCTTTTTCCTCTTGTCTTCTTTTGTCCTTTATGGTAGTGTTACTGAGATTGCAAAAAAGGATACTTGCCTAATATCAGTTAACAGATTTCTTAGTACTTGAATGCTTTCCAAACTGGCACTACCTTGAATCTGTGAGTTTCAACTCCCCAAGTTTTCAGTTTTACTAGTTATTACACTGAGTAATTTAAATTATTTAAAAGTATGTTTTGATTAGCGAGGTACTTTGTGTCAAGGTGGCTGTAGGTCATGTTTCTTGTCCTTTATTGTTTCCTAATGATAAATGTTTGACTAAACATAAATGGAAAGTCATGTTTTCTTGTTTTGAATTATTTGTAAAATAGTGTTTCTTCACAGTGATGGGATTGAAAGGGTAACATAAACCCCATTTGTTTAAAAAAAAAAAGAAGAAAAAGAAAGAAAACTCATTTTGGTCACTAAATGAGTTTAAACCTCAAAGGAAAAAGTTTAGACGTTACCCTTTCCTGTATTACACCTTTCAGTTAAAGTCTGAATGTTTGCCTCCTGGAGGGAGTCAATCTGAGAGTAAATTATAACTAAAGCAGCTGCAAAACATAACCAAAAATGATAAATCTTAGATGTGGTTCATTTTAATTTGTTTAGAAAGTTGAGGGACTATTTCTGTAAATATTAATTTTCAGCCATGATGGCATTTGAAGGATTCAAGATCTTACGTATAATTTTTACTTATTTGTATATATTTTTTTATAATCTCTTTCTACCTATAGCCATGTTTGAAAGAACAAATTACGAATAAGCATGCGTTAGAGAGTCTTACTCCTTTGAGACCCCCTAGGATTTATTTATTCTGTTCAAAAGATGTTCTCAAAGGAAATTGTGACTAAAATATCTCCCATGTAAAATTTTGATATCACTTTGGGAGCTTTGACATTGCTGAATTGGGCAAATTATATATAGATTGGCTTTATTTCTAAAACTAGTCTAAAAATCAGTCAGCAAACATTAATTTTGCCTGTTGTATGCCTTGACTAACAGTAATATTATTTTCCTCATCAGAAAATAAAATTTTTTACATGTGGTTTATGAAAGCTGTTTTAAACAAATATAAAAAGAAAATTAATCAACAGGGCAGAATTTTCTACTGTTAAAATAAAGAACTAGACTGTGCAAATAAAGACTAGAAACCAGCTGGGCGCAGCGGCTTATGCTTGTAATCAACCACTTTAGGAGGCCAAGGTGAGAGGACTGCCTGAGTCCAGGAGTTCAAGACCAACCTAGGCATTGAAGCATGACTTTTTCTTTACAAAAAATCCAAAAAATTAGCTGAGTGCAGTGGTGTGTATCTGTAGTCCCAGCTACTTGGGAGGCTGAGGTGAGAGGATCACTTGAGTCCAGGAATTCAAGACCACAGTGAGCCATGGTCATGTCACCGAACTCTAGCCTGAGCGACAGCATGAGAGCAATCTAAAAAAAAAAAAAAAAAGACTAGAAACCAAACAAACTATCTTTTTTAAAAGAAAGAGAGGAAAAAAACCTTTAAAGCATTTTTATTCATTAATGCCCTTCCTTGTTCCTGATAGGATTAAGGAAATTTGCAAAACTACAGAATAGCAAACTACAATTTTGGGAGAAAAATAACTATAGGAATATAATATGCAATTACGAATAAGATCATTATTAAAATGATACCACAAAAATATATATTTCCTATAAATGTGCCTCAGACTTGGCTCTAAGATTTTCAGCAGTCAACACAAAAGAAAACTGGTCACTTAAACATTTCAGTGTCCATATGATGAAAACAGACCAGTTAGTTAGAAGAGCCACAGCTACTACTGATTCTAAGACTAAATAACACTTTCTCTATCGCTTTCTCACTAGGGAGACCTAGTATGAGTTTCCTAGGGTTTTTATCCCTAACAGTCTGTGATAGAATGGCTTCATAATCATAAAAATTGAACAATTTAGAAAACAAGTTTTTTTTTTCAAAAAAACTTTTGAATAGAGTCATAATATACAGAAAAGTATCCAAGTCACAAGTTCACAGCTCACTAAATTATTACAAAATGATCACACTCATGTAGCTACCTCCCAGGTCCAACAAATAGACCTTACCCAGGCCCCTTTAATACTCTCTCTCAGTCACTACTCACTACCCCTCCCCTTTCAAGGATCTCTTGTCATTATTCTCTAACTTCTAATGCAGTAGTTTAAGTTTTTGAACTTTATATAAATGACTTTTTGCAGTATATATCCTTTCATGTCTTACTTTTGCTCAACGTTGTAAGATTTTACTGTGTCATTTAAAAATGTAACTGTAGGTTGTGCATTCCATTGCTGTGTCATTTTCCTTTGTGTAACTATACCATGATTTATTCATCTATTTTGTTGATGTACGTTTGGATTATTTCCAGCTAAGAACATTGCTGTGATTATGCCATTTACACTCTCATAAGCAGTGAAGAAGGTTCTTGTTCTACATCCTCATAAACATGTGGGATTGTCAGTGCTTCTATTTTAGACATTCTGTGACTATGAAGAGATTTCTCATTATGGTTTTAATGTGCATTTCCCTGATTACTAATGAGATTGAGTACCTTTCCCCCAGCATCTGGAACAATGTTGGAATGTAATGGGTACTTTGTGAAAATGTTTTCTAATGAAAAAAATGTTTGTGAAAGGCTTTGCAGATAATGTAACATATACATTGCAATAGGAATACTAAGAAGCTGATGTGTTAAAAATCAGTGGAAATAACATTCCAGATAAAAGAAACAGCTAGTACAAAGATCCTAGAAGAAAATGAAGGGCCCTTTTTGAGAAACCGTACTAATGTGGGTGGGGTGTAGTGGAGGCTGGGGAAAATAGCAGGAGATAAAACTGGAGAGACAGGTGGGGGCAGATTCTGTGCGGTTGGCCCTCCACATCCTTGGGTTTCACATCAGTGGATTCAGCCAACCATGGACCAAAAGTACTTTTTTTTAAATATTGCATCAGTGCTGAACATGTACAGACTTTTTCCTTATTATTTCCTAGATAATACAGTATAACAGCTTCTATAGCATTAACATTATATTAGGTAATATAAGTAACCTAGGGATGACTTAAAGCTTGCTGGAGGTCATGCATAGGTTATCTGCAAATCCGACACCATTTTATATCAGGAACTTGAGCATCCTCTGCTTTTGGTGTCCTTGAAAGGTCCTGGAACCAATCTCCCAAAGATATTGAAGGTAATTCTTATAGCACTTTGTAAGCCAGAATATACAGTTTGGGTTTTATTGCTAGTGTAGCAGAAAGCTTTTGTGAGCTTTTTGTTTGTTTGTTTGTTTTTTGTTTGTTTTTTCTTAGGGACCAGGTTTCACTGTGTTGCCCAGGCTGGCCTGAAACTCCTGGGCTCTAGCAATCCCCCCACCTCAACTTCCCAAGTCATGGGACTGCAGGCATGGAACCACCATGCCTGGCTTCTTTGGATGGTTTTAAGCAGGAAGTGTTATCTCATTTGCTCTGCTTGCTATAAGGAGAAAGAATAGGAACAGGGAAATTCGTTAGGCGTCTGTTAAAATAGTCCAGATAAGATCAGAGGTGGCTTAAAAGGATGGAAGAAGTAGAAATGTTGTAATGTGGGTGTATTAGAACATACTTCTAATATTTTAATACTAAGTATTCTAATACTTCTAATATTTTCTCCTAGAGAAAATAATCAATTGCTCCAGAGAGTTTTGGCTTGAGCACTTTGGCAAATGGTTGCTTGGTGCTATTAACCAAGGTTAGGGAAAGGTAGAAAGATCAAGAGCTCTGTTTTGTTTACGTTGACGTTGAGATCCCCATTAAACATTCACATGAAGATATCAGGAAGGCAGTGAATATATGAGTCTGAAATTCTAAAGAGAGGTCAGGGTTAAAAATAGGAATAGTAGGCTTTGGCATGCAAATGGCGTTTGTATATAAAGAGAAAGGAGGTCCAGGAGCAAGTTCTGAGGTTGTCCCAGCCTCTAAGACCAAGAAAACCTGCAGAGAACTACAACCACCTGTGGAACAGGAGGGAAGCTGGAGAGTGTGGAGACACAGGCATCTCCAAAGGAAGATGGGAGCATCTTGGCACAGTTTTAATTAAATTTTCAATTTCCTCGATTCTTCTGAAGAATGAACTTATTAAGAAAGACTTCAGAATTTTTCACCATTTATCAGAGAATTAGGGATGATTTAAGAAAGAACTTGAGAGGAGGAATGTTCTGATACTAAATATTACTGAAACACTCTTTCTGAAGAAGTTAGAGAAATGTGAGCCATTTCAGGACAAGGCTGGCCAAAAAAAAAAAAAAAACAAACTTTTTAGAACTATTTTAATGTGCGAAAAACAGTATGTATATATAACACAGGTAGATAAAACCAACTTTCTTTCTAGGGATAGAATCATTATATTTGTTTCTAGTGCCCAGAAGTTCTTCTGTCATCCTGTCTCCTTTGTTGGGAGGTAATTTTTTCAAGTTAAGTCAATGTATATCACAGAGCCTTCTTTTATTATCTCTATCAGCTCAGTAGGTGATTAGGAATTTGACTAAATAAAAGGAAATCTACACAATGTGCATATTAAGTTTGGATTAGAAAATGTTTATATCGAGTACTCCTTACAT